AAATCCAGCAGTGATACATCTCTCGATAGAATATATATTTATTTCCTCATTGCATTGGATCTCGAAAAATTTCATTTGACTATTTTGGCGCCATTGCCCTTTGCACTTTTTTTGCGTTTTGTTGCCATTTGTCTAATTGAAATTTAATTATAGGCTCATCAAACGAGTAATTGTTAATTTTATATTATAATATAATTCAGTCCACACGCGTCTCACAATAAATTCTGTTACGTAAAGAATATAATGGTCAAAACAGCTGTTTTATTACTATAATTCAGTGAAGCGTCGCGGGCCGGATTACATTACTCCGCGGGCCGTAGGTTGCCGACCCCTGGTTTAAAGAGTACATAATTTAGATTTGAAGGTTTTGCCAAAAGAAGTGGTACGTGTTCACTCACCAAAAAGAATTAAAATAATCCACACACACACTCATACACACGTACACGCACAACCACAGAGATATAATAACGTAAGAAAAACTCAAGATAAAGATTTAGTATTCAAGTTACAGTAGTCAATAGTCGATTCCACTAGCATGAGTCACAGAATACCATATTTGTTACTAACTTGCCCATGACGTTAGCACAAATTAAATTCAAACAGAACGTTTTTAGCTATATATATATATATTACATGCAAAGTAATCACATGGATTCAAAGTTCAGTCAGCGATTAATCATTACTAATGCGTGTCGTGCCACATGCCATTTCCTGCATCTGTATTTGCTAAAAATATAACTAAGTGGAATAAATTCGTTTTTCACCTCAACTAACTGTGTATATCCTGATGTGCGAGTGACGGTGATAGATGAAACTATGGTTAAGTTGCCAGTGAATTGATAAATACACATTTGAACATATTATATATATCTCTCAAGCATTTGCGTTTGGTTTTTGCCTTCTTAACGATGTTCACCAATGTGTGAATTCGCTTTGCGCGTGATAGCACGTATCAGTTTGATGTGAAAATACCACATTTTGTCTTTGAACTGGATACCAACAAGTTCAGTTTGAAATTTTATTGACCGATTTATTTTACACTAAGATACTGTAAGTTCAGTCTAATAAAATGAGGAATTATAAAACAGAAGAGTGCTGGACATTATATTGAAAAGTTTACGTGGGCCCCTTGGTCCACCCCAATAAGACTTATTGGTACATCCCGTCATTTGCATTATATTTATACTGTTTAGCTTATTCTGTGGGAGAAGCCTGCAAGTCATTAATAGATAAGAGTAAAAAGTATATACAGTATAATTCGCATAATTCGACCTCAGATTTCCGACCCAAACTACAATTATTCAATATCGAAGATATAATGTCTAATTGTAAGATGAGATCGAAGAATTATCGCCCATGCAATGATCATTTCTGGGAATCAGATAAACTGGCGGACACTGCCTAAATTAAACCGCTCAAGCATTGTGAAAATATGAAGGCATCGGAGGTAGCGGAAAGCAACCATGCACGACAAAATAAACTCGAAAATATTACTTCATACGTGTGACGACATTTCACGCTCTGGTACTCGGCGCAATGGGTAAATATAAATTCGTCCGATGTGAGGTATTGACATAGAAACGAAAAGAATTGATTTCTCTATACCCCACCCCGTTACATCGCATTGTATCTAAGGGCGCGTCATACCAGGACATATATTTACGAGAATATAGTGAAGTACGGATGAGATTGAAGGTATTCGATTCCCCTAAAGTCTGGAAATTATGTATGAGATGAGAAAAGATTTAGAAATCAAAAGTAGGATCAGTGCGTTTTATCAGAACCACGTTTCCTTGTTACTATCACTGTTGGAACTCTAGTAGCATAAGTCTTCGTAGGTCCAGACTACAATAGGCCAGTTTTCAGGAACCAAAATTTCAACCATTTTTAAATGCGTCATATCAAGAGGGAAATTCGTGAATTTTGGGCAAGGAATATACAGATCAAACCAATAAATGATATTTCTACGATAAATACATTATATTCACTCATCCGTATATTTGAGAGTTCTTTATGCTTTCATGCCATTATGTAAGTCGCTTGTTCAAACACTCGACGTAATCTTTTTACCTCGATCTTGAAAAATTGAGGAAAATGCTTTGAATGATCGTATTCATGTACTTCAGCAGTATATTTCCATTGGCATTTTGCGCGATTACTTCAGACTTCGATTTTATATTCCAATATGTAAGACTTGACTCAAAAATGACGTTGAATCAACCCTGAGGTCTGGTAAATCATTTCCAGATAGAGCATAAATTTAGATTAAATAGTGTAGAGTCTATATCTACACTGTAGACCAGGGTTGTCCAACCTTCATGTAGTTTACAAATGATTGCGCGGGCCACTTGACCTGGTAGTTATGTTCTAGTTTTCACTACACCGACTACAGGTTATTGAAAAAACAAACAAAACCCTCACACTAAAATTATAAGAACTATGAAAATACGAAGATACAGTAAAGTCAAAAGTTTTTACTACACATATATATTTCAATGTGGAGTATGGCACTGCTTTTATCCAACAAGTTTGTCAATATTCGGTGCGATGGAAATGTAGCAATGCGAAGCGAATTTTTTCATATGGCTGTCAGAACTTAGTGATCTCACGGGGAATTTGACATGGTTCATCCGTGAAAAAATTTATTTACAATTGGTACTGTAAAATATTTAGGTCATGAAAACTGCCTCTTCTAGCTTCACAGAGAAGGGACAGGAAAACAGATTGAAATACAAGGCAGACGATAAAAATAAATTCAAATATCTCTCTCCAGCAATAACGCCCGCAAATAAACTTAAAAAGCTTTCGATAGCTGGGTGGTGCTTCTCGCGTCTTTGAATGACGAGGAATAATTTTTTTTATTAGATGTTTCAATAGTCGGAAGACATCGGGCTTCGAATAATACCGCGCGGGCCACTCAGAAACCTTCGGCGGGCCACGGGTTGGACGACCCTGCTGTAGACTATATATAAAGAGATTGTTGTTGCCTTTTTCACAATAATGTGAGTCAGCAAAGCAAAACATTTTTTAGTATCCGATTTCTTCAAATTAACTACTGTCATGATTATTAGATATTTTTTATTCTGGTTTTAGTCATATTATTTGTATTGTGGTTTTCGGTCCTGCTGATTAAAAATTATTCCAACGGTCACTGAGACAATTTTGGTTATCAGAACTTTTAATTTTGACTGATGAATGTATTCCCGCCCTTTACGCTTGTCAGCGTAATATGTCCAGCATCTACGTTGATCATATTCAGACAATTACAAACGTGGAAAGCGTGGTGTTTTTACTGTTGGGAATAATTTAATTAATTCGTAATAATAATTATTTTATTTATTTCAACATTTGTTATTTTGCAGTTTTATTGTAATCGTGAACCACCTATTTAAAGATTGATATAACAATTGAGTTATCGGCGGTTTTTCACCAGTTACTGTAGACGGAACAGGATGGGAAACATTCTATGGTCAATCGTTTGGTGCCTCGGGCTTATCTTTATCGGATGGCCAATAGCAGGATTCATTGCATTTTTCTACATATTGTGCATGCCGTTTTCGGCATGTGTGGAACCTTGTAAAGCACTGGTGGAATTTTTGGAAAAAGTCATCAAACTTCCGATGTATTTTGCCGAAAAAATCTCGAGTGGGGAAGAAATGTGCTGAACTTTAAACTTTATACTTCACATTTTACTGAACTGCATTCCATTCTAAATTAATGCATATTATTTCATTTAATTTCCAGTACTTAAAACATAGTATTGTATTGTGAACATTTTTATATATCCCCCTGAATATTATCATACTATTTCCAGCAACGTCTATTTTTAAAATTCGGAAACAAAATCTTAAATATGTTGTGAAATGCACAAAAATAAAGCAGCCAATTTCAATTTTATAATTTGAATGATCATGTCAAAATGGCAGGCTTGTCCATGGGACATATTTTTCTTCCCCATTCCCATCCCATAGCAATTATGCCTGTGAGATTCCCATTGGAATAAAATCCAATAAAAATTGTTAAATTCAGATTTAACTTCTACTAAATAGGACCACATGTACGAAGAGACATGCAAAACAACAAAATTTACTTTGTTAACGTTATATTCTTAACTATTATACATGTGTCCATCGGCCCCTCCACGAAGTATATTGTTAATGCTGAATATATATATTGCTCTTTATAACTAACAAGAGGTCTATGCTCAAATATATGGGCACGAAGTCATTAACGAAATTTTTTAACATCATTTCCCCGAAAATCAAACGGTTTTCGTGTCCCACGTGTGCCATGGGAAATACAAATATGTACTGTCCCATCCCATGGGACGTTTTCCATGGAAAATCCTGCAAAATGATTTAATTTTAGGTAATTTTATGAACGAATTGATCCTTAATTAATTGTATTTAATAGGATGAAACAACTTTCCACACGTATTTAACACAAATGACATGAATGCATAGATACATAATGATTTCTTCGTAAATTATTTCAAGAATTGTTTAGTATTGCATTAAGGAGATTACTGGAGCGCTATCAGTACCGATGTATATGAGACGTGACGAGATTGATGGATACAAATTTACATTGCAAAGATGTATATTGTTGTCGCAAAACCATCAAAGTCTGTCATGCAAATTTGCGCTGGATTATGAGAATTAGACATAATTTTTCTACGACAACGTAAACTTGTGCAATATTAGTATAATATAAGACAGAGTTTTATAGCGATACTATAGGTTGCATTCTAGAAACGGATTGTGACGTTTTTACTTCCAGTATGCGCATCTTATATTCAACCATTTGTTTATAACATATATATCGATAGTTCTCAACCCGGTATTACGTGCTTACTCTTTCCTATTTCTATTAATAGCTGTTTTGAGCAATGACGAAATCGAAACGCGTAAGACAACAGAACACGGCATTTTACGCACTGTTGCATTGCTGATCCCATAAACACATTGCGACACGCACCGGTATTGAGGCCTTAGGCTACAAAATATAGGCAACGAGAGAAAACGAGACAGTGTAAAAAAGCCTTCTGGTGGTTTTCACAGCAAGACTTGTTTCCTGATCATTGTAGCAGCAAATAAATTTAGTTTTCTCTGCGTATGGGCGTGGCAAGTTGGTTTTGAAAAATATACAGTTGTTACAGGAACTTCATCAGCACGCTGTATAAAGTTGATTTTGTGAGTATTCTTATCTTTTTTCACTCAATAGGTATATCACCGCGATAAGATAAAATTTATTTGCTATTTGTAGTGTATAAAATGTACTATACACAATATTGTATTTACCCAGTACAAGTTCACAATCTATAAATTTGAGCGCCGTTTACAACTTTATTCACATATTTTTAGCCTTTTTTTTTATCAGATTGATGAATTTTGGTTAATTTTGTATGTAATTCTACCAAAACATGACTAACAGCTAAAACAGTTATAGTTAAGATTACGGCTCAAAGTTCCCACTACGTTATGAAATACTAGTTATTTGCAGACTCTATCTTACATACCATTTTTAATTATAGAACCACTTGCTTTGCCTAACCAGTAATTCTTACAAACGCAGCAGTTGTCCTGATCTGATTATTATTTTCATTACTGCATGAGGACTATATGACCGCCTCTTGGACTATCCTCGCTAAACATCTCATCCTCGCTAAATTTCTGAATATCATGCTTCAAAAGTAGCCTTAAAAGCGATTCCGGAAGTTTTATGTCATTTCGCTAAAAGTAACCAACTTACTTATTACTATTTCAATCACACTTCAGAAAAGCTTGTTTTCAGATAAACCAGGTGAGAGATTCCATAACTGTAAAAATCTTTACTATACCTCGAATATGATGATTATAAAGGTACGCCCACAAGATCCGGCCTAAGCTTGTATCTGGTTTTTTTTAAAAAAAAACATAATTTTTCAAAAAATAAAAATATTAGTTGCATTCAAATAAAAGTAAACTGAAATGTGATAGCACAATGAAACCTGGCACCAGAATTACATTGCGTATGTTCATGAATACATATTATGAAGTTTTATGTTATTAACAAAATTCCGAAATTTCAATAGTACGGCATTCTCATTCTATCTAAATATATATAAAATCAAACCCAATACTGGCGAAGCGGAATGATTTTTAAAGTTTAACGAGTTTAATAATAGTGGCGAACCTACGAGGTATTTGGCAATATTTAATTGAACAATAAACATAAAATAATATACGGATTCAATTCAATTAATAAAAAAAAACCTGGCTGTGCCGCGGAACCCAGATTGAAGGCCACTGTTGCATATCATGATAATAGCAAATCACAAACCTGCCTTTAAACTTAATTTGGTAAATTTTGTGCACTATTGGATATGAAAAATTTGAAAGGTACCTGATGTGATATTAACTTGATGAAAAATTTGTTTAAATCAATCGCTCAACTTGGCCAATAAAGAGGACTGTCAACTGAACAGTAATACACGATATCGACACAACCAAGTATTCTCTCGAGGCAGGTCTAGAGGTAATGCAACATATTCTTGTCAGTCCACTGAATTCATTAAAAATAGTGTAGTAAACCGGAAAAATAGGTCTAATATTTCATATTTGTATGTTCAGTTGACACGAGGTGTACCTCTGGATCGTTTCGTAATTGCGTTAATGTTCCTGGTTGGTATTTTTCTTCCTAACGTTACGAAATATCGCTTTTCTTATTAATTTCTGGACCAATTGCTTTGAAATTTTCGTGGCTGAAGATGTTATTTTTTGTTTATTGAAGGCTAATACTTTTATTTATTTAAAAAATGACATCATCAGAAATTGCGCACCTTGTGGCGTTAGACGTGAAGATTGCGGTAGTCTACTGTGAAAGATTGCATACCCGTATTACTTCGTTAGGGTCGTCGTGTCCATATATTTGAGCACTGCTCTCGTGTTTATTGATTGGCGGTAAACAAACCCGCATCGACGCAAATATATTGAACGGCGCGAATGCCCCACCCACTACGCTCAAATCAAGCTATCGTGCTATTAGTAAATTATTTACTTGGATGAGATATGTGTATCGTTACATCAAATTTATAATTGTATACGGTATTATTGTAATATATTATGTGGTGATACTCAAGTAAGGGAGTTTTGTTAAGCTGTTTTCAAGAATCTAATCCTTCGTGGAAGAGTTTTTTTTAGAAAATACTTGGGCGAAAATGGCAGATGCAATGAAAATATGCTGGCGGATTATATGGCTGATTCTATTTTTTTTTGTGTGGCCCATCAGCATGACCTGCGCAATTCTTTTTGTTACAATCGCACCATGCGCAGCATTCATCGAGCCGTGTTCGGATTTCAGTGAATTTTTACAAAGAGGAATATCACTAGCAACACTGTGCGCCCAAAACTGCGCCAAGGGACAAGGATTTGGTCAATCTGATGAGTCGTGAAGACTTCCATATTACCGAAGTACACAAACTGGTTTAAATTAATGGCATGTCAATATAGATGAAATGCTTAGACTATTTTGCGTATACATGATAACTTGAATAAATTGTCGTTATTCACATAAGTGAAGGCGGCAAAGTAATAATTAATAATCAATATATTTTGGGAGAAACATTATGCCACTTGTTATGGAGCAATGTCAGAGTGTAAACCTACGAAACAAATCAAGTACATAATCCACTTATTCCAGTGTTGGTTAGATTGCTGATACTGAATTTTCATTTAAAATAAGTAAACTTTTTTTTAGATTTCTTGTTATATTAAACACAACGTTATTGTCAGCTAAACATTATTCTTTGTTCCTTGTCGCCAATACTCCGAATAATTACACGATATCGTAAAATGTACCACAACTGTTATTTTGTGCATAGATATTATTGAAGACGATAAACTTGAAATATTTTCTTTTTTGCGATGCTATCGGTACCAACGTGCAATGACTACTTCAAGTAAAATGAGTTTAGGCAAGATCAGAGTTAATAAAAAAAAAAAAAAAAACTATTGAAAACGCATGGCAACTTGAAACCCCGCAAAAGATGGCTTCTTAAGCCTGCAACAAACGGCAGGTTTAGGAAAGTGCTGCGGTATAAGTATATAATTATATGTTTTTTATGACGATGTGGACAGAACTCGAACCTGTTGCGGTGTAGTGGGTTGAAGGTTGCTATGGCCAGCTCATTTGTACGCTTGGGCAAAATAAATAACCTCTTTGTCGACTTATAGGATCTAATGCGATTTATAATGGCTATGCATATTGAAATCATTAAATTGTACCAAACATAGGAGAAAACAGATTTGAAATGAATCGACAGAGTCCTCGCTGTTCAAAATTACTTTTTGAACTTTGCAGACAAGTTCACCATTTTTGGGATGTATACATCTTGATCTCCAGCGCATCTTCTCGACATAGTATGTCAACAGAGTCCTCCCGCATGCTCCTATATATACAATAATATAAGCGGTGGATAGTTCACAATTGATTTTTCACATCGGCTAATGTGTTGGAAACATACTTGAAATCAGCATTAGCGTGAAGTTATTACCCACAACCAACTTTTGAAAACTTCGATGAATATTTTTCTAGATCTGTCTTGTTTATAAGTGTCTGTGATTAGAAAATTGCGCTTAATATTTGTGTGAGCAGCATTATCAGTTTGCGTATCATACCGCGGTGGTGCATATTATGTCATGGGTTCAGAAATCGCGATGACTTGAGAGTGTCAATGCATAGGCTACGCAATATATTTCAAAAAATATATTCTAAGGACTTGCTGTGAATGGTTAGTTTTCAAACTAGAACAATCGCAATACGTGACAATTGTATCCTCGTCGAGACAGAAATTCGATTGTCAGCTTATTGCCGGTTGTCAACATTGGCAAACTGGACGTGCACGTATTTAAACTAAACAGTCTTATATTGACGTACATCATTTTGCATTTCAGGAATTTGTTTGTCTTGCACATCTATTATCATGGCTTGCAGTTGTGGATGGTTTTGGACAATCTTCTGGTTGATCGGTCTTCTCATAATAGCTATTCCAATCGGGCTAATCTTTGCAATCTTGTGGATAATATTTTCTCCGTTCGGGGTTTGCATATCAGGATGTGGAGACTGCATAAGCTTTTTAACAAAAGGATTTAATCTACCTCAGACCTTTGCAAGAAACATGGTCGCACAATCGTCACCGTGTTAAAGTACATTATGCCCAGAAGACTTAAAACTAATCCATTTTTACCCAGTGATAAATCGACTTTCGGTTAAATAGAAAAATAAATAAAAATTATTTGGTGAATTGTACACAAACCAACATGCAGTGCTACTTTTAGAAGTTTTTAATGAAATTCCACAAATTGTGCTACATCATAAAGTGATAAATCAGAAATTCATTCGCATATATCTTTATATACAAATACAATGAAGTATATTCGAAACTGAATGTCCAAAATTCAAAACTAAAATTTATTTTGAGATAATATACGTAGCTGTAAATTTACGGTTATAAAAGCTCGGAATTATCGCAGGCTCATAGATGATTTGTCCTATTTCAATACACTATTTACGGCAACAAATATCTCTATATACATATATATATACCGGCAATATGTAGTGTACTAATCCAATGATTCTATTTCATAAAGGGTGGATAAGTTAACAAATAATAAATGAATAGGCTTCCGGTACTCTTTCGTCACCAGTATTAATTTTTAAGTCCGTGCTTCGTATATAATTGTTGTTGCTCCTTTTATTACTACGGTCAATGCCATTGAACATAAACCATGTTACTACTCTGCGTGCACGTGATTTTGATATTTTGTTTGCGAATATTTGGACGGTAATAAGCCAAGGTGAAAGTACAGTATAATGCATTGCTAAATTCAAGCTCCCTGCTTCTAGTCAGCATTGTTGTGTGTATTGATTACTAATATAGAATTGTACTATTTTTTCCATGATAGGATAAAATTTAGATATTAGTTACGAAATAATTTAGGTCAGACAACAACTAGATGAAGTTATTATAAAACATAACATTTTAAAATATGAATTTGGCGTTCAAATCTGACATCTATATTTACAACTAGGTAGCCCTTCGCACATTTCAATGTACATGCAACTGAATTTCAATTGTCTTTAATTTTTTAAATAATTATGTCATTCATATTGTTATCATCTCAGGTATGAATATTGTTATACATCCATCATAACAAAAATAAATAAATACGAAACAGCTCAGAACGGCATTGAAATATTTGTCTCAATGCCTGGTATTGCATTATTCGGCACAGTTGCCCAAAGTGTTGTACTGAGACGAGAAGACCGTAGAAAATTCTACATCTATGTGATCCCATTTCATTCATAAGTTATTGTTTTGCACTTAGTTTGCGTGTAGTATCACTCAGTGGCGGCGCGTGGTCATTTTGACAACCGGGGCAAGCTACTGTAGGACCAAGTCACCCCCATCTACGGGGACAGGATGAGCGCTGTAAGTTCTCCCATCGATTTATGAGTATAAAAACCATTCCATCGGTAACAACTAATCGGCAAAAGCGACAATTTTTAACGATAAGAAAGTGTCTTTAAAACCGGTCCAAGTCAAGGGATTAATAAATATAGACATAGTTTATTTTGAAACCTCTTTCAAAAGGAAAGGCAATATTTACCCAGATAAATACAATGTCATATTAACAGAAACTTCGGGAAAGCAGACAAAACGTAAAATAAGGTTTAAAACGTTACTATGAAGAAAGGAAAGTTAATGCAAAGATAAGAACATGCGTCGCTCACTCATAGATATATATGCTGCTAGACTTCTACTGCTTGAACATATATGCAACACGCCGCGGTTTCTTGGAAGCAAAATGCTCAATAGCGCGCTGATTAAAGTCATGCATCCCAGAAATAACGTCTCTGTGAATGGATAAAACAGCCAAGGAATTTAATCTATCTTGCTTCATTGTGTTTCTGAGATACGTTTTAATACGCTTCAGCGTGCTGAATGTTCGCTCTGCGTCGGCGGAGGAAATAGGCGTCGTCAAAATGATGTCCAGAAATTTTGCAGACGCCGCAAAGGTAGTTACTAGAGTGTTATCTATGAGGAACCCATAGAGCGCGCAAGTTGATGTGATGTTCAAAAAAGTTTGATTGGTGTATATACATCGCAATTCATTTTCCAATTCACCCACGTTTATCATGGGGTAAAATTTAGAGAGTAGCCAACAAACAACAACATTGAAACACTCAATGAGCTCAGACCTAATTTCGGACACGCCCTGCACCACGCGTGATTGGAAGTTCCAACGTGTTGGTGCACAAGCTGGGAGACGGCGGCTACATATCTGGCGAAGGAGGGCAGAGCGTTCCGGCGAAACGAAAAAAAATGAAGAAAACCCCGAAACATTTGCAAAAAATATGCGGACGAGAGGGGTATCAAGACACATGTTTTTAATAACGAGGTTAAATTGGTGTGCATAACAATGTAAAAAATGCGCATGAGGAAAATCTTCTTTTATATAAACTTGAACACCATGTTTCGACCCACTCATGACTGCCGCGCCGTCATAAGTTTGAGCTATCAATTTTGACTTCGCGTTGTAAGGCTGTAACACTTCTTTCAGTACAGCCGATATCCCGCAAGCCGTGCGATCAACGATTGGTACAAAGCTGTGAAATCTCTCGGTAGGTTTACCATCTTTCACAAACCGAAACATCACAGCCAGTTGGGAAACGCACGTGATGTCAGTTGTCTCGTCAGACTGAATCGAAAGGAACTGGCAATTCTCAATTTCCAGAGCCAAATGTTGTAAATAAATTTTATACATTGAGTCGAGCAAATCATTTTGGATATCCTTAGATGTCCCTTTCGATTTCGGCATCAAGATGATCTCTCAATACTGTATCTAGGGATGCGGTGTATTCCACCATATCCAAAAATACCCCTCTATTAGAAGAGTGCCCACGGAGGGACAGCTCGTGACAACCAATGAACTTCAAAACATCTATCAATCGACCGAGAACATGGAGGTTTTTCTCGACGTTTTGGTTGTGCCGACGAATAGAAACCGCGCGTCCTCCATCCAACTGTGCTGCAATATTAACATTTCCGAATGTTCGGTATTTTACTGCATTGTCCAGATGCTCCATAGAAGATTGATGATCCCTGGCACGCTCGGAAAGATGTTTAAGATCTCTAAAACCAAATATACACCAACGTGAGTCACAGGCGGTAGCAAAAAGTAGGCAATAAAAACAAAAAAGTGCATTTTTGTCCTCGCTGTAACACAACCATTCGTGTTTTTTATACCAAGTTTCTGCGCAGAATGTACGCCGACGCTTTCCTCTGTCATGGGATTGTTCCAGTGAACAATTTTTTGGTTGATAAGGCCTAAGACGTTGTACCTCTAATTTTTGTTCCAGCGGCAGCTGCGAAAACGGAGTGCGAAGTAGTGCATCAACCTTATTCATTATGAGGTCTAAGGCTAAGAATTGCGAAGCCGGAAAGAAGTGAGGAGCTCAAAAGGAATGTGGAAAATCGAAAGCAAATGGACTAAAGGTCTCTAACTGATTCAAATAGCGAAACAAGCGAAAAAAACGAAAGCGAGGAAACTATCAACTCTTCAAGCAACCAACGAACGAGAAGGAATGCGTGAATACGTCAACACGTTGTTGTAAGAAACGTCGGCATTGTGTCGTCATAATTTCGGGGCTAGCCCCGATCGGCCCCGATGATTTAGTAAAAGAAACAGAAAACAAACGAGACAAACGCGGCGAGTGGAAGATAAAAGAGAGAATACGATATACAATGAGCAACCGGGGCAAAATCGGCGTCGCCCCGTCGACGTTCGGCAAAGGCTTTGCGAGCGAAAAATGAACCATGTCGGGAGAATATGGCTAGTGTAGACCAGTGGTCGGCAACCACCGGGCCGCGGCCCATCGCCGGTCCGCGGAAAGGTTACTGCCGGTCCGCAGAAAGGTGACACAAAAACGAAAAAGGCCGTAATGAAACCTCTACAATCTAACCACAAACCCAACGACTAAAAAACAGCACTCAACACAACACTAAACCAGACAAACACAACACCAGGGATCGGCAAAACTGCGAACCGTGAGCTAATTTGTTGCGGCCCTCGAACGACCCGACATTCAAATTGTTCAATACATAAAACCAAATATGATTCTAAATTTATTATTGTCTCTACACGGATTTATGTGGTAACAACAAGTGCAGATGTACGGTGCTTGTTTTGTAATAAGTAGCGTTGGTTGTATATCGTTCGAGTTAATTTTAATTTTTTAAAAATTGAAAATGTCTGGGAAACGGAGCGACGATGGTCGAGCATTCCAAAGTGCTTGGACGGAAAAATATTTTTAATCCTTGCGCATTTCAAAACCGGTTCGCTCGATATGCCCAGTCAGCATCGCAGTTGTTAAGGGTTTTAATGTTAAACTCGTTACGGAACGAGTCGTCGAAAATTCGACCCCGAGACCCGGGATTGCGCCACAGCTCATCTGTGCGCTAGTGAAAAAGGTGTAATGTGCACGGTCGGAAGAATATATGGCCTTGAGCAGCTTTATCTAAAATGCATTACACTTAGAATAAATTTCGTACTCGCCTGTCAGATCATCATTTGAAGTTTGGACGACAAGTTGCCATAAAAACACCATCTTTCACATTGATAATAAGGGAAGTTCAATTAATGTTGCGATTGTTTGAAGGCGGAAATAGAAATATTGCGGCCCGCGCGCTACCGGAAATGTGTATATTTGGCCCGCAAGTACATGAAGTTGGCCGACCACTGCACAACACTATTGAGCAGCATGTCTGACTTCATGAACAACTGCCATGTCAGTATGTCGCAATAATGCTGGGTCAAATGTTATCTCTACGCCCGTATAAGAATGTCCCTCATCAGTTCGACTAAGATCTCCCCGACAAAATGATACAGGCATTGTTAACTTTCCCGAAATCTTATTAATATGAGGCCTGGTTTTCAATATTGATAACTACAAATACGAAATAATATAAATAAATGTCGACCATATCAGATACAGATATCGCGTTAAATAGCATCACCGTCGTTTTTAGTATATTGTTAACATAAATTTCATAATGCGTTTAATGTATTGCATAGGCTTAGTTCGTTTGTATAAAGGTGGTCCGCAAACATTTTGGTCAGGCTTTACCGGTCCGTCACTTGAAAACGGTTGCCGACCACTGGTGTAGACAGTCTGTGCAACCGATAATGAGGTATTTTTCGAATATTTTTCATTATACCGACTAGAGCATAGGTTCTCAAAGTGCTCCGTACGGAGCCCCAGGGCTCCGTGAGAGAAACCCAGGGGCTCCGCGAGCTATTCAATTACTTTTCAAAATACTGAATTGGTTAATTTTGTAACTGTTAAAAGAAGAAGTAACAGCTTTGATAAATTTTGAAATAGCCTCGAAATATGGCAAAGAGACGGAATTAAAAAATGGCATTATTTATAAGCAGGAGCGTAGCCAGGATTCTTAAGACAGAGGGGGTTCAGAATTGGAATCGGAAATTCTACGCAACAATATTCGCGATTAAAAAAAACAGAAAACGAGATTTCTGTTGCGTAAAATATTCAATCCATGATCGATGCGAGCATTTGAAGTGTCTTGTCGTAATGATTTAATTGTGCTCATCGTTACTCACGTTTGATTCGAGATTACTATTAGGATTACTAAAATGAAAGAATACTATTCTAAAATAACATAAAATGCGCGATAAACTTCCAACTATAAATAAATTGCAGTCGTATTCTTGCGATCTTGGGATTTGTCAAGCTTGATTTTGTTCTTTCGCACTCGAGAACAAGATATTGTCGTTCAAAAAATTATGAGGTCTGGGCAAAATACGAAAGATTGAAATTTATTTCATTTCATCATGCTCAGTCGGTAGTTTCAGAATGAAAAAAAAGGTACATCGCGCGCACAATCGACTGTGTTTCGGTTTTGCAGTTACTACGATGAAAAACCAAAGAAAACCTAACATAACACCAAATTTTGTGATTTACAGTGTCTATTAAAGCTTTTTTAATTTTACGTGAGTCTGCTGAAACAAAACTTAAAGTGTTATCTTTCATTTTAAGTTTTAGTTTTAATATTTTAGAATGCCGCTTCTTTAATCAAGAAATTTGAGTTGCGGATTTATCTCTTTATTATTTATTATTTTTAGCATTTCATCTCCGATGACTATAATATGGTAGCATGTTTT